ACTCTTTTTTACTACCCTTGTGTATAAAGATTGTAACATCACTTAAAAGTAACAGCTTTCCTGCACGGGTCCACAGCGGGCACACCTGTAACGCACACCTCAGCCCCACTCCACAGTGTGGACTTCGCTGCTGGGCCCTCACATGTGTCTCCTCCCAGGCTCAAACTGGGGAACTTTCTCATATTCAACATATTCTGTTGGTTTCATCTTTTCCACAATACTCACATTCACCTGTACGGTGCTTCCTCATTATAAATAATGTGCCAGCAAACATGCCCATGTTGACCAACAGTGAGTAGCTATGGGTAGATTGTAGGGCTGTGTGCACAGGCAGCCCCACACTTATCTCACATGGCCCTCAAACGGGTGTGCCCAAGCAGGGCCCACAGCAGTTTTTTCCCCTTTGAGGCTCCACGTGGGTTGTCTATGGGTAAGTACACTGTGGACCATGTAGTAGTCCCAAAGGCCCAAAGTGCTGTGGGCCCTGTGTAGACACATGCACTTGAACCTGAATAGGTGTGGGTTTGCTGTACCCCCACAGCCCCACAGCTCACCTAAACCGAAACTTTCCTAAAAAGAGGAAAGCTGTTGTGCAACATTTGGAGTCTGGACCGAGCTAATGAAATGAGATGTGGATGTTTTTATATTCTAGTTGTTTAAACTCTCAAAGCACAATCTGAATGTCAGCTGACAGCTGTTTTAGTTGATCAGGTCTTGGAGTGATTTACTCTTCCAAACAAAACAACAAAAATTCCCCTGACTTTGTTTCATTTTCTGTAATTATGATACTCTGAAAAAGCCTGATCCAATGTGAGGGGACTGTAGAAATCAGTATTTTCTTCTTTTAGCAGTGTCACTGGGGAATAACAGGATTTCTAACCTTCAGCCAACGAGTTTCTTAGAGTCCCATTATTCATAAAGTATCACTGACATCATTGCTCATTTACTTTTCTGGGACACAAAGAAGGTCTTAAAGAGTTGTAACAGAACTTGGTGAAAGTAAGTGTAAGGTCAAGGTACAGGAAAACATTTTTGTCCTTGTGGTCACTGTGGAAACTTTCCCTCATGACTTTCTGTTGCTGGTGAACTTGGTGTTGTTGAAGCCACAAAGATGACTTTTACGTTTTTCCTGCTGCCCTCTCCAATCTGAAACTAGTGCTCAGGAAAAACGCTGCATGTTTAAATGGTAACAAATTAACTATTTATATTTTTGCTTGGTTTAAAGCTGTTGCTGTCTTCTATAAGCCTAAAAAACACAAAGTTTTACTCTGTTTGTCTTTTTTTTTGTGTGATTTTCTCATATGCAACATGTGCCATTCCTAGAAATCGGCTTAGGAAATAATCTTGGAAGTACATAAAATTAAAGACATTCTGTTGTCTCCAAACTTTAAGGAGGAATTACTGTTTGTACATTTTTCATCTCAGCTGGAATCATCAAATCTTGGCTGTGGTCTGGCATGTTCTTCACTGTCCTTTAGTCACCAGGGGACGAGTGCTTCCCCTGAAAAGGCTGCAGAGGCAGGAGTGGAAAAACAAATGCAGTCACTGTTTTTCAAGGAAATCATATTCAAAGAAGAATAAAAAGTAATGAAGCCAGCTGTTTTGTTGCAATACTAACATCTGGAGAGTGTGTGCAAAAGGAAGAAGAGGAGTGGAGCTTTTATTACACAGTATGTCCTGTACCTCATGTAACAGAGCAAAAATGAAGATATTGTGTAAAATATTTCTGTGCAGGTTCTCTGTCATCCAGGTCACAGTTGTCTTAAGAGCTGAATAGAAGGCTACGGGGATCTTTTAAGTGTTTTGGAGACATTTCACCTCTCATTGAAAATGCTTCTTCTCTAAAACCAAAGGGTGGAGAGTCCCAGGTTTTTAAACCCTAGTCGGGGTTGTCCTTGACCCACTATTAATCACATGCATCATCACATGAGCCCAGGTGTGAAAAAAGGTGTGTGTCATTAGCACTACAGGTTTTGGATGAAACCACTCTGAGACCTTGAGATCACCTGACTCAAGGTGCGCTGGGAGTTGAAGCCCTTGGGCAGGAATCTCAAGACTGTACTGTTGGTGTCCAGGTGAGG